ACTTGCATCATTCGTAAATGACGTTAAACATTTTTGCCATTGTACAAAGCTTATGTAACAAAGAATTCACTGTTCACTTATTTTCCTAGGCCTGTTGTATCTTAGAATATTTAAGAATTTAATGGTTAATGCACAATTTAAGGCGCAGCACTGTGTGTGCACCGTTTCAACAAATGGCAGCCCAAAGCCTTAGGCGCAAGAGCTCTCAAGATGGAGAGGCTTGATCAGCTTCATCGTGCTGATGTAGGAAAAAAATAGGTTGTTCGATCCAGTCTTTTTTTCAGATCAGTGGATGAAATATGTAGAATTACACCTTGCATACGTGAGGACGTGAACGTTTTGAAAAAAAAGATGCATGTCAAAACACACCACTTCATATTATACTGGAGTATCTGGATTTTACTAAAGAAAGTGAATGGTTATTATATCATTTGTTAGATTATATGATAAAAAAATGGTGCCGATGTTAATGCTGTAAGTGAAAAAGGTGAAACTCCGGTAATGGTTGCAGTGAAACGGCGTAAGACAAAGTTAGTGAAAAAATTGAATTTTCGTGGAGCTGATTTAAGCATGCCAAATTGTGAAGGTGATACGGTCTTACATATAGCTGTGAAGACGTTTCATACGGAGACTATTGCTATTTTACATATTTTCGGTAAAAATATTGATGAAGAAAAGAAAAATAATCTTGGATTCACTGCTTTGGAACTGTTAACTAAAAATGTGGTGCAGAACCCAAATTCATTGATGAATAAGATAATAGGTGTATTAAGTTTGCCTATTAACGAATCCAGCTGTCTTTACACTTCATTTCCTGAAAGATATTGTTATTGTGTCTGTGACTGATAATATTAATACATTATTACTTAAGTATAAACGGATGTTATAAATAAAAAATTAGTTGTATATGTACGTAGGTTACTTGTGGTAGTTACATAAAAGTACAAATTACATTTTTTAATAAAATGGCTGGAGTTAAACTATGCATGTTATTGACGTTATGCTTGATCAATTTCATTACAAGTAGTCTTTGTGGAGAAGAACCGTTAATTATAAAAAGTTTTGATGTTGAAGTAAAAAATGTAGAAGATGCGAATGAAATGGCTACATCTATGAAGAAAATGCTTGCATACGACAGATTTTGGCCTATAGAGTTCCAAACATCATCGTTTTGTCTCGGGAATAAAGTGATAATATCAGTAGATACTCTATCACATTCTGTTGGTGATAATGATAGAGAACAGCCTCCTCGATCTTGTAGGTCTAGAACCACTGTTAGAACAAGTGATTCTGCCATGGGTCAACATCTTTTAGACAACCCAGATTGTGCAAAACTCTATAATGACGACATGTTTCGGATAATTGGCAGAGCCCGTTCGTCCTTCCATCTAGCAGTTTTGGAGTCGATCTACATACAAACGAAAAAGCAGCCATTGTGTAGACAGAAAGAGTTCGTTTTCTCTCTTGGACTCCAGTGGTAATTTTTCTTTAGGCTCGCGGCACTGATTGGTTAACTATACCGGTCTTGTGCTTACGTTTTTCTGATTGGCTTATTTCGATCCACAACTGGGTATATATTTTTCATCGTGTTCTTTCGGACCCTTATTCTGACGTTTTATGCTCTGAGGAGTGTCAGACGAAAAAGCTTTTAGTATGTTGTAAAATGTTTGCTTTTTCAAAGCCATTATAGATGAAAGTATTAAATGATGTAGTAAATTTAAGAATATTAGTAACAATATTATATGATGGCTAGCATCCATGTAATTATAAATCATAACAAAAAATTACAAATCATGAAAAAATAAACGTTCCCCAAAACGGGTAAGACGTTTTTAGTCCAACTCTCCCATCACCATAAATTTGAAACGGGAACCCGTTGTATGTGACTGTTTCAGGGTTAGTCTTACTACCCCAAAAATCGTACAACACCTTATGTTTTGTTTCATATTCAAAATAGTTTTCATCAATTTCGTCATCAATCTTTAAGTCGACAAATCCTTCTAACTATTCTTCTTCATCATCATTATCATCATAGTCAGGGTATACATCATCACGGTAGTTATCCTCTAATGTATCCATGTCTATACTTCCGTAGAAGTAGTTATCATCTTCATCAGAAATATAATCCAAATCTTCTACGAAATATTCTTCGGGAATAATTGCTTCATTCTTGGGCTTATTGTTCATGTTTTCGCGTATTTGTGTCCAAGGGATTGACACTTAAAGAAATAAAGAAGAAAATCTATATAAATTACTTAGTAAAAAAAATTTAGAAACAGCTACGTAACTGCGATGGTCGTCTTTTTCGATTAGTTTAAAAATAAAGTATTTATGTCCCATACTATCGTATGCGTCCGCAATTACAAATTTCTCTTATTCGTACATCTGGTTTTGCTGGTTCGGGTTTTGTTATATTTTGGGTGCCTTCATCTTCGTCATCCGTCACTTTATTGCGAAACTCTTTCTCATTTAATTTTAAGAATTGAAAAATTCGTATTAGTCTGATTAATTCGAAATCTTTTAATTGGATGCTGTTCGGTAAGATCTCACGAAATCGAGTTACCAAACGAAATATCTCAGACTTTTCCCCTTTTTCTTCATCTTTAATTTCCATCAAACCAACTCCATCAGTTATTTGCGCTGTCATGTTCCCTCTTAGCACTAACTCCAAACTGACTAACTTAAAATTTAAAAAAATCCCACAATTTATACTTTCCACATTTATTAACATAATTTATGCCAACATTTTGCACCGTCACCACCGCTGCGTAGCATTATCCGCCACTACGCCACTGTGCAGGAGCCTTAGGTTTAAGTGTGTACAGTCGGCTCCCGATCATACACTACTATTGAGTGCAAAAAATTTTAGCAGGGAATACTGTCGAATAACAATCTTTCACAGCGAAAGTTTCATTTAAGCATTTCCTATGTAAAATACACAAGTAACTCTGAGAACCTGAAACCATTCATCCAAAAAATCTGAAATCAATTCGGAATAATGACAGTGTTAAGAAGTGTTTTGTTAAAAATATTTTTCACGTTTGTCATTTTTTGCTTCTTCTTCGCCTGTTTTGTCGTTATCAATTCTTTGCTCAAGATATATTTTCACTTATGTTCATAATACCACGCAATCTTATAAGAAATTCTAAATACTTTCTAAAGTTGCTCTGGAAAACAAACATTATGATTCTTTAAAACATTTTGGCATAGAGAAAAAAATATCTTTTTACAACTTCTGATAAAGCTTACTTTTGTATTATATTATGTTATGTTATGTTATGTTATGTTATGATATGTTATGTTATGTTATGTTATGTTATGTTATGTTATGTTATGTTATGTTATGTTATGTTATGTTATGTTATGTTATGTTATGTTATGTTATGTTATGTTATCTTGCTTGCTAAAGCTGTTCAGCCTTTCTTTTTAACGGCATTAGCCTGTACTGTGGTTGTCGTTAAAAACCGTTTGGCAAAACGTTCACTGCTCAAAGTCCTGACTTTCTTAACGTGCGAAAGTGAATCATAGCGTAAAATTAGCTTCTTTGAAAATAAATATCAATAATGCTGTTAGACATTGATATTGTAAAGATTGCGTTTATGATGTTCATGGCATTTTCGAGAATGGAACTCTGTTCTTTCTGAGACAAACTCTACTTGTTTCTCCATGAAATGAACTAAAGAAATGAGATCAGAAAATATTTCTGTCGAAGTAAATTTTTCAGTTAATAATGATCATAATTGAAATATGAATGGAAACTGTAGTCCTCCACATGGTCCTCCTGAATGAAAAACAATTATGTACATTAAGTCCTATTAACATTATAATTTATTGCTAAATTTTCGTTATTCATACTTGTAGCTCTAGCTCTTGATTTCCTCAATAAGATTCCATGTTTATCTTATCTGTATGAGCATAGTAATACTTTTTAAGACCAATTAATACTATCAATGTAGGTTGACAAAAACGACAAAAAGTCCCTTCTTTTAGTTTGAGTACCACGACAGACCCTTCCTAAAGTTTTGATTGTCAATTGCATGCTAAGTTAAATGTCAGATGGCAAAGGATGAGTTGGCTTTGTCCATTATATATCCATATAAGGACATGGGGTAATTAGACGTCACGTGACAAATTATAGCTCATTTTGCTACTTTAAACGTATTTCTACCAAAAAGATAAACTATCCTTCATATTCCACTGCTAAGACCAGGTTTTTTTGTTAAAACGTCATTACAGCCATGTTTCTCCTTTGCAGAGGATAAGCAGGAACTTCTCCTGATTTAACCCCCATTTTACCCCAAAACAGCAGCAAATCCCTATTTACCATCACAATTTAATATCCCCAGTTGATAAAGAACTCGAAACTGGTAATCAAAATTTCCTCGCCCCAAAGTGGTTCTCCCCTCCATTTCCGTCTGGTCAAGTACATCCGTGTCTGACCAAGATCGTCCCTGACCAGTGCCACAACAGATGACTCTTTAGTGAATTTGAGCTTTGAAGTATGTATATCAAGGAATTGGGCAAAGTTACAGAACCTTGACATCACCTGCGGTTAGTTAGTTACTGTTATTTCCGTGTCTACACCGCGCGAGTGACGATAAAGTTACTAGTAAAACCGGAAGTTGAATAAAAACGCACTCGAAAAAACAGAATGCAGCAAGTAAAAGAGAATAGATCGAGAACACTTAACAAAGATCTCAGCATTTTATCAGCTCGGCTTAGTGTCATGCAGTTTTAACAAGTCGCTCTTTTTGAAAATGGCATGCGTTTTTGCTCAACAGCAAGCAATATCGGGCTCCAAAATGAAAAACTGAGCTCGATAATGAAAAATCGGGCCCGTAAACAGATAAAATGATTTTGAACTGAATATTCCATTATAAATATTGGGCGAAAAGTGTTGGGTGAAGTTTTGGAACGTTTATCCGGGTCTTTTTACCGGAAATGCGTCTTTCACGATCACCTCTTTGGCTACCGTATCGAGGCACTATTGGACGATGGATTTACGTCAAAGGACAGTTGGTAGTGCCGACTAGGAACCGGAAGATTATGCTGGGTTATAAAGATAGCTTCAAATGTCGCAGCTCCAAGTATCTCAGTTAGCAAAATACAGAATTATCTGTCGTGGAACTGCGAGAGAAGAAGCATGTTGAAGTTAACGAGTATTTGTGGGCTAGTCGTCTTTGGCCTACTATCCACAGTTCAATGTCTTTTGGACAGCTCATTGCTTGACGCTTTAGATTCCACAGTCTTGGCCCTGGAAGATGAACGGTCAACTAAAGATTTTACCGCAAAAGTCTTGCCTGTTTTTCCAATACCACTTGTACCAAAAGCAAGACCAGGTGAACCTAAGATAATTCCATTTTCAAAAACGTTTGGTAAGTCAAAAATATTTTTTTTGTTTTATTTGTAAATTATATTGCTTATTTATTGATCCAAGCTGGCAGATCAAAAATTTTATGCAGTCAATGAATGATCTTGCCTTGACAAACTTTCTTATAACATTTAAAAATAAAGCCGAACATAGTAAACCAATTTTTAAATGCCTAAACACTTTAAATTTTGAAGACTGTTACAAACTCGAGTGTGCTAAATTTATGTATGATATTAACAAAAGTATAGCCGAAACTTCTATCAGTAAACTCTTCAAAAAAGCCGAAAATACTCATAATTACAAAACAAGATATGCTAGCTCAGGAAATTTTATTAAACCAAGTTTTAGAACAGAATTTGGTAAAAATTTCATAAAAAATGTTGGTGTAGATGTTTGGAACTCCATTCCACAAGACATCAGACAATCAGGATCAAAAACAACTTTTGCTAAAGCCTTAAAAAATTTATGATTTCAATATACAAGTACCCCCTTCCACTACATATACTATATTATCAGCACACAGAAAAACAAGAACTCTAACAAAGTTTAAAAGCATTCCACCACCTTTTTTACCCCCTTTTTAATCCCCCCCCCCTTCCCACAAACAAATAGATTAGAGTAACGTGTCAACTATCATATTCGAAACCAACTTTTCTATTTTTCAAAATTTTTGTTCAAAGTTTAAAAAAATGTTATTGTTGTTTATTAATATTGTGTATTGATTTATATTTACTTCGGGCAAAATTCACGTAAGATGGGACATGGCTCGAAAGCCCCTATGGGTTATTTCCATGTGTCATTCAGCTATAACTTTATAGATACAAATAATTATTTTAAATATCTTAACCTTGTATGTATTGAAGTATAACTGGAATTGTATCTTGATAAATTGTTTGACTTGATCAGTATATTGTAATTAAGCTGAGAATACACATGAAATTGAAATTGAATTGAATTGAATTGAAATTGAATTGTTTTGTTTCGTTTTGTTTTGTTTTGTTTGTTTTGTTTTGTTTTGTTTGCTTTGTTTTGTATTGGATGGCTGCCATTCCCAGTCTTGCTGGTGGCGGAACTAGCATCGGATATACGGGAGCTTGACTTGTTTCATAACCTTTTGTATTAAAAAATCATCAAGAAACATATAGTACTACAATCAACAAAACGGCGAAAAGTTGACTACGAATTTTCAGCTTTGATGCCCAATAAATGGGTATGCTCCAATATCGCAGATTTCATCGTATTTTTTAACAAATTTGAGATTACGTGAAACGACGGATTTGATCCGAAGTCAACAGGGGTAGAATCTGTGGAGAAAAATTTTAATTCTCGTATGACTGAAATTATTAAAGACTTACGATACAAGATGAAATGCCTAAAAACCGGAAAACATATAGTTCACGATTAGTTCTATTCAATGGGTTCTAAAATGAATTCTTGCTCTTTGAAAGTAGAAAATCCTAAATCATATGGCAGAAACTATTTCAACCTCGTAGAGAATCTAAAGTACAAACTGTTCGGATTTAAATTTTTTGATGCAATGCCTGCGGCATATTGCTGCAAACGTTTTCGCCAAATAAGAGATTAGAATCAGAACTGATTATTCAAAAAGGTTAAATCTGTAGAAAGGGATAATGATCTGTTCGTAGATAAAGAACGTATTTTTTTAGTTGTAGATGTAGTTGAACGGAAAATCAAAATTCGAAGCTTTCCGCCTTAAAAATTTAAATAATTGAATTTAAAGTACGTTTTCTGTTGTTTTGGTCAATTTACTGTTTCTATAATCATATCACTGTTTTCACTTAAATTTAGGGGCTTGGGCTCGAAAACGGTTTCGTTCCTCCCAAAATCCTAAGCAACGTTATCGTTAAAGTTTTAATTATTGTTAAATTGTTGATTATCTTTATCGACACTTTATTGCCTCTAAAAATTGAAAGATGATTGCTGAATATCAAATGAATTTTAATAAGTTGCCATGGTCTGGCTCCAGCGTCGGAGGTCAGTTCAAATCAGGTTGTGTTGTTTACATCCAATGTCTAAACTATGTAAACAATTAGGCCGCGTCATAAAACTATCGATCTTTTTATTTACCTTTGGAAGTTAAGTGAGCCTTAATTCATACAAAAAACATAAACAGTTGGGAATTTTCCTGAACTTCAACCTAACTTTGGATTTTATTTCATAATAAACATCCGACCATGCTTAATCCAAATCCACAATAGGCCCTTTGAAATTTATAACACAATTGGTTTTTTGATGACGTCACACTGGGACCATTTTTGTAAGTAAAATATCACACAGAGACATTTTTAAGGTGCGCTCTGCATAATGGCTTACAAAGTCTGCACGCAGACAAGACTTTTGCAAGGTTTTAATTTTCTCGAGCGAAAGAAATATTTTGTTTTTGAATCAAATTCCATTCCCAAGTATTATTAAAGCTACGAATATTTTTATGAAGGGCTTATCAAATCAAAGGCTAAATATAGAAATTCAGAAGGTAAATAGATGAAAGAGAGTCCCTAAGTAAATGATGATGTAAATATCGACGGCGAGGCGAGATTTTTTATTGATGAAAAGGCAGACGTTGGAATATAGGTAGAAGAATGCGTTTTGTTACACTTAGGGTAAAATTGTTTAATAACCAAAGCAAAACAAAAACATTACATTTACAAAAAATTTTACACATTTTAAGTTTCCCATTACTATGTTACAAAAGCCTCATTCTATATACATCTGAGATTTTTATATTTATATAAAAAACTAAAAGAAGGCATTTTTCCTTTTGTTTTGTACACACCCAAATTTAAATTATTTCTTTTTTTTAAGGAAAAAAAGTTTTCAGAAAAATCTCATCTGCGAGAAGAAGATCTTACAAGAAAAGACCGTCTGCTAGGAAAACAAATATGAAGACGAGGTTTGATATCATCTCATCGTTCTGTCCATCAGTTTAACAGTCAATGTTTTCTTTTACTATTGATGTTATTTCAACGATGTATTTCAAGTATGAATACTGTCATTAGTAAGTCATAGATTTCGAAAGCATTAATAAGTTACTAAGTCGAACTGTGTAATGACAATATGTTCCATGTGGTTTGATGCGAGCTGGTTTTCTTGACAAGTTTTCTTGGCAAATTGCCTTGGTAAGTTGTGCCCTTGTTAATGGAGATTGACAATAAGTTTTTCACAGTTTCCACTTTGCTTTTTTGAGTCAAATTCCTCTGTAAACGGATTTGTCACTGTTACATAATGGTATCGTATAATTGTTACTGTTACAACAACAGCCCTGTTTGGATGTGACAAGAAACGATGAAAACCCAAATGATAGAGACATTTTCTCAGCGATAGGCAACAATCCTTGCCAAAGCCTCTTGAAAAGACGCAAAAGAGCGCCCTTTCTATTCTCCAGACTACCCGACTTCCAACAACGCGCGTCTCTCCTCCCCCCTCCCTCCCCCCCCTAAACGATATTAGTGAGCATACTTTTATTCTTTTTTGATTGCGCAAAGCATCAAAAAGCATGTATATAAAGCATGAAGATAAAGATATTTAGCATTGATTCGGGGAAAGGGAGGCTGCTTGAAAAGTTTAGGGAAGTTTTTTAAGTGTTTTGGCAAGGATTAAGGATATCTCTTACATCTATTGACTGAGTTTTCTTTATCCAAAACAAAAATGGCCGAAGCGATACCACCTGTGACAAGTTAACTTGTTCAAGAACTGGCAAAAAGTGTTAATTTTCTTCAATTTGACCAAGTCTACATGGGCATAAAAAGCAGAAACATTATCTAGAAAAACTTCTTGCGCGTTAGGGTGTACCCGTGGTTTCATTTAATTTCCAATTCTGTAGGCTTACAAAACTAGGTAATGTTATCATAAAAGTGCCACTGTTTCAACTGATGTTGAGACCGAGGGCTATGAACTTCCCTTTAAAAATTCTTCTCTCATTTCTAGGGTATCTTTAAACCGAAATTTGCAGGCAATGAATCAGATTCAAAATAGCATGTTGGAAGCTGCTGCAATGCGTCAAAAGCTTAACACTGCATCAATACAGCAACTTATAAAGAAGGCTTGTAATGCTGGACAGTATATCTTTGCTCGTCAAATGCTTGGGCATAATCTTTATAATCTCCTCGATGGTATGAACTAGAAATATAATTCACATTTTTAGCTTTGTCGAATATATATTTATTAGTATATCATAAACGCGAAATGAAAATTGCAAGCAGTGGATACTTTGAGCAAATTTTATAATTTTTACAGTGATTTTTCCGGCAGGTAACTTGGAAGTTTTAACAAAGCAAATTGCTTAAAAGCAGGGTATAAAGATACAAATGATTTTCATTTTTCAAGGTGGGGAAGGAAAAAGAAGCCGAAGAAGTGTTGTTTCTGCAAAACAGATACTGAACAACGTGCAGTCGAGTATTGGCAGCGATCAATACAAGAAACTTTTAGCGTATGATGGCGGAGTCACTCTTGGCTTTGCGTTTGATACGACCGGGAGCATGGGTGATGAAATGGACAGAGCCAAGACGCTTGCAAGAGGCATCGTGAATTTCAAAAGATTAGCCGCAGTTGATTATGTGCTTTCACCATTCAACGATCCAGTTACAAATGGTAGGCCGTGTAGCCATCTACATTGCTTCTTGCAAGCTAAACGGCCGAGTCTTTTTTCTACATTTTCATTTCTTGTCCTAAACGCTCCCCTTCCCCCAGAACAACTTTGATAGTTCTGGCAATTATCATTAAAGTCACATTCAACAAAACCTTTTTAACAACATGTTACTTTGTATTAATCAAATATTTTTCAAGCGGAAGGGCAGTAATAGTTAAATCCTACTTCTTCGTTAGTGCTCCAAGGCTTTTAATAATCTTCTATCTTCATATTTTCCGATTTATTTTCATATTTATTTTTCTATCACGTTTTTGAGATAAAGTTAGAATAAATTGTTTCTGTTTATTGTTTTGAAATTATGCAAAAATATGACAATTTTTGTCAATTTATTGCTTCACTTTTCAGTATATCATGGTCCCGTTGAATTCAGACTATATGAGGAAAAAGAAGACTTTGTTCGTCTCATCGATGACTTAAAAGCAAGTGGTGGAGGAGATTGTAAAGAAATGACAATTAACGGAATCCACAGCCTATTCAATGCTCCGATTGCGCAATCTTCTCCAGTGTATGTCTTCACTGATGCCGGCGCAAAGGATGCAACTGATGAGAATGTAGAGGCTTTAAAAGACTTGGTTGGCATGTACAAAGCACGACTCAATTTCTTCCTTTCGTATAGCGGTAAGATTTTTAGGGGATTCCCTTATAATTTTGGTTTACAGATCACGAAGGCAATTGGACGTTCATTGACGCTTTTCTTGTTAACATATTTAACAAAATTTTCTTAGAAATAAAGTCGAAGTTGAAGCAGTTGCGGTTTAATTAAATGTTTATTGAGAGATTGCTTCTATTATAGGTTGTTTGAGGTCGGAAGACATACAATTGTACGAGTCTTTAGCTGAATCAACTGGTGGACAAATACTGTACTTCTCTTCTTCATCAAAGATTGCACTGATGGACAGGTTGATTCAGAACACCCTTATTGGTGGAAGTAGCATTCCAGTGATTCAGCATCAGAGGCAAAGGAGGGCGGCTGACTTCATTGATTATTCTATTACAGTTGACAACACTGTAGAGACTTTGAGCACTACGGTTATGTCCACTGGTTCTTCAAAGCTGGCTCGCTTGTACAATCCAAGTACGTATTGTCAATTGGCTATAAATTAGGATATGAGTAGTTGTGAATCCATTGTCTATTCTCATCTTGTTATCGCTAAAATTTAAAAAAAACTATTTTCAGTAATCGAATAAGCTTTTGCTGCCAGTACTGCAGAACAGCCGCGACGTTTTTGTAAAAAAAGGCCCAAATAAATTGTGATTCCGATTTAGGTCAACATCTACTTAAGAATCCAGAGTGCATCAAAGCGTATAGGGACTACAATTTTAAGATCATTGGGCAAGCAAAGTCGTCGTTTCATTTAGGTGTTTTGGAATCTGTCTACATCAAGACAAAGAATCCCAAAGGCTGCTATTGGTTAAAATCTGGGAATAAATTTTCTGATGTTTTTACCCTAACGAGTGTCGGACAAAAAGTGCTTTTGTATGATAAGTTTCCGATTTTCTGTGCTATTTTCAGAAATGGACGCGATAATGTGTCTAAAATAGACTTTACATTTCATCTTGTTGATTTTTTTTATTGAGATAATGTTTTGGAATTTTCCGCATATGATGTACCTTGAATGATTTTTTATGTGAAGCTGATATGGAGGAACCTAGAAAAATCACGGCATAAATTCAACACTCAGTATCGCTTTTGATTATTCAAATTGTTTTTCTCTTTTTGGGACAGTTTTGTTTAGAATATGAATTTAATTTTTAGGTGGCAATTTGCAAGTTGGTGAAAATACAGGCAAAGGCAGCACATTATTTTTGATCAAGAAACCAGTGTCTGGTGTGTGGAAGCTCTCTGTTCCGGCTAGTTCGGCCAACCGCTATGTGGCAGCCAACTGTATAAGTTTCGAGAATATTGACTTCGAATACAACTTTTTGGTGGAAGCTAAAGTCTTTGGAAAAACCAAGTCAGTTGCCTCTAAATCACCGATCAAAGGTTTGTTGCTGAAGTGTGAATAGTACAAAACGCGAAGCTAGAATAGGAGTGTATTTTACCAAGGGCAGAAGCTGTGATTAGATCAGCTTATATTATGTTATATTATGTTATATTATATTATATAATATTATATCATATTATATCATATTTTGCTAAGATGGTCGATTAGGCATTCAAAGAAAGCGTACATGTTTGGTTTTAGACTGTAAATTAGGTATCTTTCTAAAATTTTACCAGGCAAATTAATAACTGAATACTATATATACAGCCGACCTTTATTATTTTTTGGAGTTCTAGATAGGTGAATGTTTTTTAAGACAAATTTTAATGTCAGTTGAATTCAAAATTTATTTGGAGACGAACTAATAAGTTCGTTACAAAAACTATTTATCGTAATCTTGGCGTGGAAGTATACAACGATAAAGCCCCTTTTCATATCTTCCCCTTTTGCTTCTTAAGAAATCCTAAAAGCTACATTTATCAAGTTGTTTGCTCTGATTGTCAAGTAGTTATAACTAAGGTATTATTAATTTTCAGGTAAAACTGCCAAAGTCGTGATAACCATTCCAGCGCACAGAAGAACCAAGACTTCCTCGCTCAAACTGAAGGTGGTTAACAGCGTTTTCAAGCCGTCAACAACGATTTCTCTGAAGCAATATGGGAGGACAGCTGGGCGATATCTTGCTACATTTCCAACTCCAGCACACGACTTTAAATTGATTGTCGAGGGGATGACAAGGGAGAACACGCGCTTTGAAAGGCTTGGCAAGGGTATTATAAAGCCACGGACTTTATTTTTTCACTTATTCTCTGCGCCAAGAGGATTTGCACTCAATTCGGGGTCGTCTCGTTCAACAATACTGACGTTTGCCTTACACAACACCGGTGCAAGGGAAAATTTTGAAGTCAAAACGAATGAATTGGGAAAGACGGTGGTTAATGTTCCCAAGAGGGTTTATGGCATTCCTGGAAGAATGTCTGTCTTCATGATACCATTCAGAGCGCCAAAGGGGTCAAAGAAAGATGAAATACACAACGTGGTTATAACCGTCGTTGGCAAGACGACCGGCGCTAAAGCGAGCAAATGTATTCAGTTATTCGTTGTATAGACACTGACAAGTTGAAGTTGTGATTACTTTATACTTAGTTGCTGAAAGTGTAAAAACTGCAGTTTAATGACGTCATACTCAACAGGACAGAATACGAAGATAAAACTTTTGAAGTTACATTGTTAGCATATGTATTTCCTATGTACAGCATTTAAAAAAATGGGTTTAGGAGTCCGAGGGCTAGCTTGTTAAGAAATGAAGCACTTTCAGGTTATCAGGCTACTACTCGTGTTTCTTATCGTCAGATGTAGTCTCGAGTAGAGCATGAACGAGGGAATGAGAATAATCGGGGGATAGGGGGAGGCTGCTGTTTTGATATTTTTCCATATGATAATAGTTTTGGGGTTGAAATAAGGCTGGAAAAATTTAAAATGGTCGTTTTCCTTTTTTAAAGTTATACACCTACCTTTTTATATTAGTTATTAAGACCTAAATTAATAGATTAAGTTGTCCTTAGTTAATACATTTGCTAAGGAGGGATTATTCAAAAGTCATCTTGAAGGTCATTTCAATTTTTCACGGATTAACTAAAGGGGGATTGGAATAAAAGTATGGAGTTCTAAAGTAGGAATTGCCTTTTGGATTCCATTATCAACAATGCAGTCTCCAGCTCAACATAAATTATGGAGAAGAGCCTAGAGCTCCCTCACTGCGGCTCCTACAACTGCTATGCATTTCTCATTATGTAGTCTGTTTACCGCTTACTGTTATAAACGAATACCAGTGTATTTTCTAATCGTAGTTGTTTATTTTTGTTCATTCTTTTAACATTGCCATTTCATTTATAAATAGCTTGAAACAAATGTCCTACCAAATTAGCAACCAACAGATTTACATAGAACAGCTTACAACGCCAATTTTTGTTTCTGCCTGCAGCATACCATTTTGAGTGAAAACACTTGTAACGATTTCTGTCATTGATATTTGCTTTGAAACTTAAATCAACAGTAATATGTCAGCAGTACATACCAAAGAAGTTTAAGATATACTGCTAAAGCACAGTGACATCTTTAGCATATTGTTTCAATTTAAGGATTCAATTTAAGCAATTTAAGAATAGATGAACATTTTGTCATCGTTAGAAACATTTCATTATCACTATAATTAAAAAAAACCTCATGGCGAGTAATGAACTTCTGATAACATTTCACTAGTTTTGTAATTTTTTTATTTGGATTTTTTAATAGTCACTTTTTCGCAATCTCATTTGCTGACCATTTCATCAATATAGCCAAAAAATTTGTCACTTTGCACACTAGAAACTGAATCATGCAAAAGTATGTATGATTTTGAAAATTTTAAAAATGAATTTCCAAGGCATGGTCCATAATAGATGTGACATCATGAAATATCAAAATACTTTGTTAAAGTAGCTTTCAAAATGAGTTAGCAGCAGAAAGTAAAACAAAAAAACATAGTTGTCTCGCTGAGTAGGTACAAATGCTATTGTTTCTTGGCTTTCATTGTAACCATGTGCCACAACCAAAAACCAAACCCAAATTTCCAGTGCAAAACTACATATGCCTGTAGGTGTAGATAGAGAGAGTAGTTTCAACAGTTCCCTTATGATTAGCGTGAAACTCTGAAACAAAAATTCACAAACTTCAATTACGCTTGGATAGAGGTAGTCTTGTTAGCATGCGCGCACACTCGACTGGTTTTCCCAGAGATGAATTCAGTTGAATAGAAAAACTGTTTTTCTCAGAGACCAGTTGAGTCTGTGCGCAGGCTAAAGTCTTGTGGGACCTCAGTCCTAGTGTCAAAATTTAGAAATGTAAACAACTTATAGACTTTCGCTTGTGTGAAACCCCTCCCCCCTATTTCGAAAACATTTCATTGTAAAATCAAGGAGTTTTGTGCCATCGGGGGGTGCTTCATCGGCAAAATTTCAGATTTGTCAAATACAGGCAAACAAAACAATGGTTCACCCACATTGTCAGCAAATGGGATCTGGGCATCCCGCCTTTAGCACAATAGCTAGCGACGGTCCTAGCGCAAAGCTGTCGATTATTTGGAGAACCTGCCAAGTCAACAGGCCTATGGAGTCTTTATTAACTTTGAAAAATACTATCTGGTCCACTGGATATTCTCCCCTAGTTTTAATGCTTGAGCAAATTTGGATATTTCAGCTGGGATTCGCATTATATAAACCGTTGAAAGGAGACTTTGTAAATATTTTTGTGATGTTCGTTTGCGTAGTTATAGAGTTCAGAATTCACGTAGTCACGTAGGGGCAAAAGCCACCATATGTATATTATCGAGATTTGTAGTTCTTCTGAACGTCAAACAAGGCCTGCTGTTAACAAGATAAAATAAGGTATCTTGCTGTTAATCAAGGAAATTGCGATCTACATACCAACGAAAAAGCCGCGAAAGTGTAGACAGAAGGAGTTCGTTTTCTCTCTCGGACTCCAGTGGTAATTCTCATTGTGTAGACAGCGGCACTAATTGGTCAACAATACCGGTCTTGTGCTTGCGTTTTTCTGATTGGCCTATTTCGATCCTCAATATGGCATATATTTTTCATCGTGTTCTTTCCGATCCTTATTCTGACGGCTAATTAAAATGAAATGAAAATTATAATAAGCTTCAAACCCGGGAACCTGAAAACGTCAGGATTTCCAAGGACGAGGGATCCAAAATCTCAGAACCTGTGAAAATGGTCAATCTCGGAGTTCGCGATGCCGATATTATTATAAAATATATAAAGTTTATTATTCGATAGCTACTAGTTCAAATCCTTTGGGTAGTGGCCGTTCTTGCATTATTGGAAGCAAATCTATGGTATATTTTGAGTTTTAGGTATATTCAGCTTTTGAAGAGCAAGTAAAAAGGTGTCAGGTTTTCCTTACTTTCATTGTTAAGATAGGCGGTATCCACTTGTTTAGAAAACTGAAAGGAATTTACCTTCATCAAAAATTTTGTATTCATAAGCAAAAGGAGATGAGATGTTTAATCATATTATATCAATATGACCCTCTAATTAGCCCCCCTATATTAGGTATATGCTTGAATAGCAGTCAGGTGCGATATCTATTAAGGTAATAAACATTATTTGATATTGTCACTTACTACACACTTTCACCTTTTGGATCATAGAGTCTACAAAACATTTGGATTTGTCATAAGTGTAGTGTAACTGGAATTTGAAATGAAACGTTTCCATCATTTTCATCATTATCAGAAAGAAAAGGTCTTGCTTCTCAGGGAATTTTCTTATTTGAAGAAAGATGGGATGTGAAATCAAGTCGAAATTAATTGCTACAACGTCAATCGCTTCATTCAAAAAAAGAGAAACACAGATTCAAAATTCATCGCTTTGTTACGGGCGTATATAGTATAATATACAAGTATTTACAAAATATGTTGTAGATTGTAATTAAAACAAAGGGAAGATTTAAAGAAAATTCGATATAAAATCAAATAGCAACTTAAATGGAAATAAACTTTTCCTGGGACCTGTAGGGCTTATTCAACGCTGATGAGGAGGGTATTATGACTAAATATACTTTCGTGACGTGCAGTATACATAAAGGATAAGCTAACAATGCCTAGCCTGTGCCCTGTCACGTGTTAGATGCATCTGCATCTTCCTTAATCAACTCTCCATATCTTTTGGCTTTCATGCGGATTCCATGTTGTGGACGAGAAAAAGGTCCCAGAAATTAAAAGATACAGAAACGACTAAACCAAACCAAACATTACTATGGCTCATTAATTTAATAAATTTGAAGAAAACATACTTCTATACTATTAAAAGCATTAAAAAAGCGCAATCATAAATAATAACAAACTAGTCCTGAAAACATAAAAACTTAGAGAACCTCAAACACTACAGCCGAATCGTCAACAAAAGCGAGTTCGTCCTTGTCACGATCTGCGATGAAGCAAAGATGCCCATTTCCAATGCTTTTTCCTGTACATTCCAGATTATCGTCCCTGCATTCTTGTAGTTGGATCTTATGTGGGGAAAAGGGCAGTGTCATGAGGTTTTGAAGCGCCAATTCAACCAAGAAAGGCCGTCACGCCAAACTTAAAACCTGCATAAAACCCTTGATACTAATGAGTTGCTCAGTTACCGTAAGCGATTCCCTCCCTTCCTTACTGGAAACTCCTTTTGTAAGAATTTTTGAATTCTTTCGCTTTTGTTCAATTTCGGCTTTACGACCAATCAGCGAATACAAGCCTTTAATTTTCTTAAGTTGGACCTCACTGTTTCGCAAGAGCTAAAAATAAAACAGAAACATAATCTTTATTAGAAATTCCGTTACGTCAAATTACCTCAGACAAACAAAAATAGATTTAGGTTTCATTGCTTGTTCTTCAAATAAGCCGTCAAATAAAAGTTTTGGGGAATGACTCTTTCGCTCAAAGCGAGCATTGCAACAAGATTATATTTGACTATGGTCTTCAGCTGTTTCTTAAGGGCGTAATAATGATATCACAATACAATCCAAAGCATTGATGAATGCGAGAGAGAACCCTACCTTGCTAACTGAAGCATCTTGACACAAAATCGACAGAAGTCGGCAACAGGGTGGAAATATTTTCTTCTTCTCTCTGAAGTTTACCATAATTTCCGTAATTTGTTGTAGAAAATCTCCATCTTCAACAATTGCCATATAAGTAGTGGGGCACTGAAACAAAAACTCGAATACTGAAACAAGAACAATTTGCCGGCACATGGAACAAGAAAGGAGTACAAAAGTTAGTATGAATAGGCAACAATTGCAGTACCACATTAAGGATCAAAACAATATTTGCAAAAACAAACCATAAAGAAATGAATAAGGCGAGCAAACCTTTGATACATTTATAAGAACGAGCAATGCCATGTTGATCTGCTCGATAGACGGCAAACTTCGGTTGCAGTTTCGCATTATCTGAAATATAACTGTCAAGGCATTGTCCTCTACGAGTCTTTCACAGCACTTTACCGAAAGTCTAGTTGCAACCTCTGAAAATAAAGAAAATTTATCTAGGTTAACTTCCAATTACCCTAACTTTAACTGTTGCTAAAACATTTTCAATTGGAAGTTAACAGTCACAAAAACTGGCTTTACAGACGTCAGAAAAAGCTGACTTAACATTTACTCTCGCTTGATATCAGTCATATAAGTGAATGTGGATGCATGCATGGACTGAAATGTATGTTCCAAGTATTTTTGGCAGGCATTGTATGTATGATAATGTAAATACAATACATATTTAGACAGAACATGCTGCAGATTCCTTACCAAGATTTCTGAGAGCTTCATAAATTGTAGTCACATTTCTACAGTTCAGCAAGTAACTCAGAGCGGACTTTGTCCTATTGCACAGTTTCTTTGGTTCAGTTGCTTCAGAGGTCGCACTATTGATCCGTTCGCGTGCAAGAATAACTTTCTGATCGACAATGCTCCTTCGCACAAGGTAACCTCGCCAGCATTTCTGAATGGGCAATAAAGTATTCGTTAATTGCCAAGCATTTTCGAATTAAAAAGTATTGAAAGAGAAAATTAGGTTTAACAAAGCCATGCGATTGACATGAAACTAAGATCTTTCAAGAGACCTCTCCAAGATAAATGTGCTACAAATATAGCAAATATACCAGCTAAATGGTGACAGTATAATGCAAAATGACTACATGATTACCTTGTATGTTTGTATGATTTCTAAGTATGTTTATGAACAAACCTGTATACACAGTACAGCTTCTCTTAGCCCCAAGTACTTCGCTCTTTCTTCTTTCATCAGCGTCGTAGAATGGTACCACCTTTGGATCACAACTGCAGCTGCCCAGCGCTCTTCTCGACACTTTCGCTGCCTGAACGCTCGGAACACCGTCTGGATTCTCATGGCCGCAGCTTTTCTTGCAGCCAATTTCCGTTGCCTGAAAGCACGGTATGCATGCTGAATAATTATGGCAGCAGAGCGCAGGTTTTGAAATTCAATTCTACATCGCACCATATCTCGATGTGCCCTAAACTTTCTCTGGATCCTTATAACATTATCTTCTAACTCCTTCCTTCTAGCCGCACGTAAATGCAGTTCTGCTCTGCACTTGCGATATGCTGTCTGGATCCTCACAACAGCCCATTTCATGTGAATGTAGTTGACTCTAGCGCTTTTCGTCAGACGAGCGCTTCTGTAGAAACTCTGGGCAAATAAAGTGGCTTTTTTCAATCGCTGAAATTCTTTCCTGATCACGTATCCACGGAAAGCGGCTTGAATAGCAGCAGCCGCACGTTGTCGCCTTTTCCGGTCCGTAATAAGTTTTTCGAGGGAATTTCTAATGGCGTATGAGCGATATGCAAGCTGAATCGTGACGGCACATGTTTTCAAATGCAGATATTCATTCCTAACACGCCTTGATAACAGCATGCATTTGAAACATCTTTGTATGGTGGAAGCGGCGTTTTTCCTCTTTACAAACTCTTTACGTGCCACAAAACATTTGAACATGGCTTGTATGTGTGCAGCGGCCTTGTTCAGTTTTTCTTTTTCCTCTTTTAAAACCAACAACTGCCTCTTAGCAAGATGAGAACGATATGCCCTTTGTATTATTTGGACCTTAAGTCTTTTATCTTCATACTCGCTTCTGACTCTAGCAGTTAACAGATATCCTCTATAAAATCTCTGAATTCTCACAGATGATTGTTTGAGTAAAATAAATTTCTTCTGAGCAATGAACCTTCTGAAATTTTTCTGAACCATAGTGGCGGCTCTTTGCCTGTTAGAGAGGACTCTCTGCTCTATAATTTGCTTGAGGTGGCTTTCCAACAACTTCTTTTTACGCAACATATCTGTATACACCCTAGTTTTAAAGCCTCGATAGCTAGCCTGAATTACTACAACGGCAGCCTTTAAAGCGAGAAATTTCGTTCGCTGTTTCTTCATTGCGCTGTAAGCTTTCTGGTGCTCTTGAATGATACACGTACTGTGCTTGAGCTTCAAAAATCTGCTCCTGGATAACCACATTCTAACTACAGACTGAATGACTCTACACGATTGTCGTTTCATTAGATATTTTTGTCTCTGCATGGCACCTGTGACGTGAGCTCTGTATCGTCTCTGTATCACAGCAATTGCTTGCTGTTGTAATGAATAGCGTTTCCTAGCAAAGTGCATTCGAAAGACTGACTGCAACTTAATACACGCTTCTATCTTCTCTCTGTACAGCCTCCTGAAAATAATCATTCTACCGAGCGACTGTAACTTAATGGCGGCCTTTTTCCTTTCCAAACATTGGCCAAACCATCGCTGGATGATGATGCAACTGTTGCGCATTTTAATAAACATTCTCCTCTGTTTCAACATTCGGTATGTAGACTGCACAATAACAACAGCCTTCTTAGTTCTTGTAAACTTTCTAAACGCTCTTTGAATGACGATTGCAGACGACTTTTTCCGAAGGAAATTCTGGCGATGAGCACGCATAACCAAATTGGCTCTTACACGTCGTTGTAGTAAAATGGCTGTCTGGCGCAGTGTCATGTAGCTTTTCTGCGCTATATACTTTCTGAAAACACTTTGAATTATTCTCGCAGACTTCTTTTTCTGCAAGTACTGTTTCCGAGCCAAAAAACCTTTGATCGAAGCTTGTATTGTGATGGCAGCGCCCCGCATGAAATGGTAGAAAACAGAGTGCTCCTGGCACGCAACACAAGCTCTGTAGCGTCTCTGAATAACCAGTGCTGCACTCTTCTTTCTGAGAAAATTCCTACGGGCAACAGCCATTCTGTACCACGATTGTATCTTCACAGCTGCTTTCCGTGACGATAAGTAAATCTTTCGTGCTCTCATAGCCCTAAAATTTGACTGCAACGTGACTGCAGACGATTTTGCCAATAAAAATTCGTGGCGTTGACTTCTCATCATAGAAGTAGCTCTGAACCAACACTGGATTGCTAATGCAGCCTTGACCAAACGCTTCAATTTCCTAATAACTAACACTTCTCGCAGACGCCTTTGTAATAAAATGATAGCCTCTCGTTTAGCCCTGTACTCTTTTTTGGCACAATGCATTCGGTAAGCGGCCTGAATTTGAATGGCTCTCTGTCGAGTCTTGGTGAACATGTTTCGACTCACCTTCATCTCTTTTTGAGCCCTGTATCGTCGCTGGATTACAAGGGTGGCCTCCTTTGTAAGCAAAAAATTCCTTCTGTTAATCCATTTCCTGACCAGTGACTGTAAAGTAACACAAGATTGTCTCATTTCGATAAACTGACAGCGCTGGAGACGTGCAATTCTGTATTCTTTCCAACGCAATTGAATGCTAGTTGCTGCCTTCTCCCTATGTTTTGTTTCAATCTTAAACCTTACATTTCTTTGAAGTTTTACAACTAAGCTCTTGAGGTTGCGATATTTCTTTCTCTCAACAAACCCTTTCATGGCAGCTTGTACTTTGCGAGCGGCCTTGTTCTTATGCAAGGTCCTGGTCGCTAAAAAGCCCCTTATGGCTGTCTGAATCTTTATCACCAAAACTAGCTTTTTCTGGTACTCCTCTACTGCTGCCCTTGTTTGTCGATATCCCCTGTATAATCTTTGGACTTTAATTGTAGCCGTCTTTATGTGAAGATATTCTTTCCTGACAAGATGAGCTCTAACATTCTTTTGGACAGTCAGTACTGCCCTCTGAATGACTCTGTAGCGTTTTCTCTCTCGGTAACCTCTATACACTGCTTGTATCCTCAGAGCAGCAAGTTTTGTCTTCCTTATTGCTTTACGCACGGCGAATCCTCTCATTGCAGCCTGTATTGAAATGACAGCATTTCTCAACTCTTTAAATGCCTTGACAGCAACTAGCATTTGATTTGTTCCCTATATTGCCTCTGTATACAGACAGCTGCCTTCTTCAAACGAGAATACTCTCTTTTCGCCTTATGCATTCTGACTAATGCCTGAATCTTCTGTGCTGCAGAATGACGCATCTGAAGCTCCTTACGGGTGGCGTACCCACGGTAAGCTGATTGTATGCTGATAATAGCAGCTCTGGTAATTAGAAAATGGACCTGTGCAGCTTGCGATAGCTTCATAGCATGGTAACGTCTCTGAATAGTAAGAGCAGCTGACTTGAGCTTTTGATAACTTCGTTTAGCACGCTTGCATCTATAAAGTGATTGAATGAAAACGCAGGAAGATTTCAGCTTCGTGTACTTCCTTCTGTCCACTTCACCAACTTTTGTGGCCCTAAATCGTCGCTGGATCTTTGTAGCTGCATTTCTAATCGATAAAAATTGTTTCCTTTGTACGTTACTTCGATAAAGTGCTTGCATTTGTACAGCACCTAACCTTAATTGCAGAAAACACTTTCGCTGCCTATAAGCTCTGAACGTTGCTTGTATTTTGACGGAGCTGGTTCTAATCAATTGAAACTCTGCCCTTTGCAGTTGCATATGCTTCTTAGCTACCAGCGCAGCTTCGATCACTAGGACAGCATGTTTTACAGCATGGTACCGTTTCCTTAACATTTTTCCACGCCACAATGATTGTACCTGCACCGCACTGGCTTTCATTTCCAGAAACACTTTTCGAGCCTTTTTACCACGATAAGCTGCCTGAAGAACTGAGCATGCTTCTCTTTGCTTCTTGAAGTCTTTACGAGCCTGTCTTCCAAGTAACACGGCTTTGCGAATCCTTTGAAGTGAAATAATATTCGCTCTTAACTTCCTGTAGTCCCTTTGGCATATCTTTCTCCTTGTGATAGCTTGCACCTTAATCACGCTCCTGCGCAACTGACTGTACCACTTGCGACATTTATAGCCTCTAAAATATGCTTGAATGCATAAACATGCATGTTCTCGTTGCTCTCGTTGTTTGGCGAGGAAATCTCGAAAGGCTCTCTGTAGAACAATAATTGATGCCCGTTTGCTAAGGAATTCATTTCTTGCTCTGGTTGCAGTCAAATGTGCTCGCCAGTGTGCTTGCAACGTAATAACGGATTTCATAACGTTCTTGTACCGTTTTCTACATAGGTATGTTCTCCAATACTTTTGAATACTAATAGCGGCATTTCTCATTTCGAGAAACACCTTGCGAGTGCGATACGTCTTCCAAACACGTTGAATTTTGAGCGTAGCTTCTCTCTTTCGTAAATAGAAGAACCTGCAACAAATTGAAAAAGAAATTAAGAAGATCGAAAGGGACAATAATTGGCTAAAATATAAAAACTTATGGAAATATGTTTAGATGATTAAAAGTACTAACATAAAGTTACTGAAAGGTTTGATTTATATTTAAAAGAAAATATCATCTCAAGAGTGATTTGTGTGGTTGAAAATTTGGCTGCAAAAAATCGAGCGCAGACTATATCGAACAAATCCATTTAGTATTAATCATATAAGAAGGGTGCAAACAAAGGACTGTTCTGAAACAAATTAAAGAGTAACCTTTCAGTACGAGCCAAGCTTGATTCCCTGAACCTTCTTTGTATAATAATAGCTGCTTCTTCCTGCAAGCGCTTTGATTTCTCCAACAAGTAAATGCGCACATTTTTCTGAAGGAGGAGTGCGGCCATTCTTTTTTTTCTCAAATTATTTCTGCTGATGAACCCACGTACAACAGCCTGTAAATATGGAAAGCAATGGTAGATCAATTTTTATTACATTTTGTTGAAATCAAAATGAAATGATGGAAGCAAATGGAAATCAGAGACGGGATTCAGCTTTTCCTAGGTAGCAAAACCTGAAACTAACCTGGATTTTTGCTGCAGCAGCTTCCCGTTCTCCTAGTTCGTTTAACTCTCTATCGTGCAATAATTTTCTTCTAACCGTATATCCTCTCCAGAGCGCTTGAATCTTGACAGCTGCTTGCTCCATCTTTCCACGACGCTTTCGCTCCAAAAAGCCACGAGCAACTGACTGAAATGAAAATTTAATTCTAATGAAACTTGGCCAGAGGTGATTAACATTTTCATTATACGATGTAGTTGAATATTGAGTTCCAGAAAAACGCTCAAATTGAATTCACTTATCTTTCGGATTGCTAACTCTATTGTGTTTTTTTCTGTTTGTCAGTAATTACAACCTAAAACATGGTTGGCTATATACTATATAAACTGGAACATAACAATATAGCATGCGTGGTTACATTTCATTTTTCTCTCATTTCATATGTCTAATTTTTTTGACAGCATTTGTTTTTTCGGTAACAAGGTAAAATTTCCTCCTTCTTTATATGTTGTATAGGCTTTGAGAGACTATTCAATAGTTGTGCTCCCATATTTTCTGCTAACGCACTGCCCGTAGCACCAATGATGTAACCAAAGAGAGAGGTTTTGCTCTCAGAAACAAAGGACATCTTGTTTATTGGTATCAAACAAGTATTCCAAATGCTTAGATATAAATTACTCATACCTGCAGCTTGATAACAGCTCTTATTTGAATCTGAAAAAGAACAAAAATGGGATTACACCACTCATGTCACGATGTAAGACTGGAAGATTGCTACGAAGGTTTTAGTTTCAATTTTGAACTGGACGAAGAATGCCTGAGTCACCTGGAATTTGCTTTGCTTCTTTTTAAGCTGATGATGCCTCCAAGCCAGCTGAATGCAGCGAGCAGCCCTAATCTCCTCACGAAGATCAAGCAAACGCGAACAAAGGAAAGAAAGAAACACAACCACAACCTGGAAAAAAATTGAAATTTTAGAAAAATAACAATCTAAACGCAACAGTTTATAACTGTGTCGTTAATTGGCTACAACAATTTCACAAAGACAATGAAGTGAAAGGATAAAAAATGGTACCTTTTCATCGGGAATGGTGTTAGACATATCAGATGTCAAGATCATTGCTGGGCTCGGTCCGATTTCCTTTACCTGGTGGCAGAAATACATTAAATAAAGCAGATTGAAGCCTGTAGCTAAGTATCAACACAACTCTTTTACTGATAAGCGCCTGTCCGTACAATGACCTTTTCACTTGATTAAGAAAGAGGTTCTAGAGAAAGGATATTTTAAGTTGCAGAGCACGTTTGGCTTGTCTGTCAATGAGGTTTATAATAACCAAGGTTCCCTTTCATCGTTTGCTTGCATCAAATAACTTTTGCCTGTAAAGCTTCTTGTGAATAATGTCTTTAGAAACTAAGCAGTATCTGCTTATCATTGAATAAATCATCATTAAACAAGCAATTGAGTTTTACAAACAAGCGCATTACAGCACATCCCTCACAATATTATTAAATAGAGGATAATTCCTTTTTTCTCCCCTTCCTTTTATATGGAGAAAAAGTTAGTCAATATGCAATAAAAACGTGGCGCCTCACCTTCTCACAAAAAAGACCAAAGTTTTTCTTCTCGTTCAATAAAAGCATTGTCAGGTTGGTATTAGTTAAGTCGCCTACAAAATGAGAAGGATGAAAGAACCGGCTGGATAAAAAAAATGGAACGGAGATCAAGGAGACAAAAGACAGCAAAATACTGAAAACGCAGCAAGCAAGTGATGTGAAAACTCTATGCATCGCATAACGACAATACATCATCATACCTGGTCCTCTTGGCTTGATCCAGTTTTGATAGATGAGATTATCATCAATATCGTGATCATCCTCTTTCGAAATGCTGCATGTAACTGAAGTATCATCATGTATTGCGTCTTTAGGCAGCAGGGCTGGGTGATAATGATGCAACAGGTAGCACAATGCCCGGCCATCAGAAAAAGAGACAGTAAAGTTCTCAATCTAAAACGAAAGAACAAAATCTTTTGTTTTGTGAGTGGCAAGGAACCAGCAAAATTTGTAATAAGGTATCCGACAGCCTTATGTAAAGAAAGTCGAAAAATACTTGACATTGGATATCCAGCAAACATTGAAGCCAGAAATTAAAAAGATGGACGCAGGACCTACAACAATGTCCTAACGTTGGGCTGGAGCCTCTAGCTCAAATATGCCATCGAAAAATAAATTAGATTGTTTCTTACATGTCTGCCTCTTAAGTAATAGTAAAAGCCTTCGGCAACAAAACACAGGCAAATGTGAGCTAAAAACCTGTACTCCATGAAGCTGTCCAACAAGGCGACACCATTTGAGCAATAGAGACAGTTTATCCGAATGAAGGTTAAGATCTTTCCCAAAAGATTCTGGTTGTATTTCAAGAGCTGGATTGTCACGTTCAAAATTTCTGTAAGCTTGTATTAACCGATTGCTCTTCTCTAAATAAGCTATTTCTTCACGCAGCTTCAGATCATCAAGAAGGACATCAACCTAAAAGAAATAAAAAAATTAAATGCTTGTTGTTCTCGCTACAGCTACCAAGCCACTGTTTCTTCATGTTTTCAGATAACAATTAAATATGGCCCATGAAACAAGATAATTGTCAGGAAAATAAAAAGCATTTCATCAAATTATCAAGTTTCATTGCAAAATTAGAAAAAAACTCGGGCTTTGATGAAAACCTCTTTATATTCTAAGCCAGTCTACCAATCTTGTAAACAAAGCCTTTAAAGAAAAATTCCTGTTTTACTTCTATTATGTTTTGAGTTTTCAATTTCACCTTTTACCATCAATATCCCGAAATTGTCCAGTTTACTGCGCTATCTAAATATTGGATGCCTTTTTGGTTAAGACGTATGTAGTTGCACTCTCTGAAATGTCTAAAAACATTAACGATTAAATATATATTTTACTTTGGTTCCAGTTGCTTGATGCCGCCACTAACTAAATGTTTAAAAGAGAAAAGGATCTGGGGATGTCCTGTAGGAAAGTAGAAAAGATGAATGTGGGTCAGAATATTCATAATTTTTTCAAAAATCTTACTTACGAACCTGAAAATGGAATATAATGTTCCAAAGCAATACGAGAGTTTTCTCTCTATGTCCGTCAACAATAAACCGTGCATCAATGCTAGCACCTACAATAAAAACAGCTTATTAGGGCAATGTAACGAGGATAAGCCATGTTTAAGCAAAGTCTTTCGTTTAGGCAAATGGAACTTTGAATGCCGGTATCTTTACCCTAGGCATCGCTGCTTAATTAGAAGAAAATGAATGCATGCTTACCATTTTTGATATCCAAGTTTGCTTCTTTCAAGCCAGTGAGAGCCAGCTCGACATTATGAACTTTCTACAAATAACGAAATTATTGTTTAAGTAACACAAGAGAACACATGGTCGAGGAATTGTTTGTCAGTTGCTGACTTATAAGCAAGTGAATCTGCTAGTTAGCTAGTTTAATTAGATGCTGCATAAACATTGTAGCTTGCGAAAAAAATACATAGTAATAACTTGTGCATTTTGAATTTGCAAAAACTACATACCTGAAGACGACTCACAGCGGGTATTCGCAGTCTTGTAGACAAGTTCCAGTTCTTGGTCAGAAGTTCGACGACCCGACTACAAAGAAAAAATTGTAAGGCTGGTTGCAATGCCAAGAAACATGATGAAAGCAAAGTTCAGAGAATGAGTTATAGACGAATTACGTTGTTCCACCTGTAAGTACGGAGAGTAAATGAAGAAGCCGGGACAAACAAATGTTCGGGAAACTCAAAATAAAAGAAGGAAAAAGTAGTTAATTAGAGTAGCATTGTTCTCTAATTAAACATTTAACAATGAATCCAGTCTTAACACCGACGTCTTGGCTGAAGAGTTATGAAATAAATCAAGAATTGAAGTTAAACTCACACAAGGCGCATCCCATCGCGTAGATCAACTGCCAAAGAGTTCACTCCAAAGTCAAACTCATGCAGCGGGGTCTGAAACAGATCAAAGAATGATTTGGCGTTTACGGTTATCAGTTCCTGCATGAACCTTAAATTTTAAGTAGATTGATTTGGCGACACAGTGAGCTTATGTTCTCTTTTAAAAATCTTCACTGTTTTCTAGTTAGAAACTACTAGAAGGAATGCTTACGTGCCAGGTCCATCTATAGTACCAGAATACTAAGACACATGAATGAAAAAAGTAGGCACCGATTGAAGACGGAGGCTCACCTGAACATGGGACACGGCATAACCTAAGTACGTCAAATGCTTCACGATGTCACCTTCTCGATGCAAATAATCACGTGAAAACATCAGCAGCATATCGCGAGTTGACTGAAAAGAAAAATGATATTATTGCACCACATGAAGTTATCTTATGAAATACAAAATCATCTACCAAAGGTTGAGTCATTACTAGTTTGTGAGTCGGGGAAAGAGAACAGTCCTGGAACTGCGTACTAGGAGCTTTAACTAAAAAAGTGCAGAATAACAGATGTATGGAATAATCTAATGATTGAAACCTGTCACGTTTCTATGACTAATGAAAGGTAACCTAATTGGTTTAGAGATCCAAGTATGTATAACACTGTATAACCATCTTACAAACATGGTAACTTTAAACAAATACCAAAGTTGTTCTTTATCAGGTCTATAAAGGCAAAATTTGCAGTCCAAAAAGGAAGCTTTGGAGAAACGTTTGATAAGATTAATGCTTAAATCACTCACCTTAAACTGTGAATCCTTGTTAAATAGACATGGGTCATGGCTCATAAGCCTGGCGTTCTTTGCTTTGTCAAGGAAAATCACGAGGAGTAGCAGTTTCTTCAATGTAAATTTTCCAAGTGCCTCAACGTAGCCTACAGATGAGCAAAAATTTATCAAAGATGAAACTTTGCAAAACAGACCTAAAGACTTCTAAAGCCTTACCATGTTGAGGTATTGAATACAAGGAGTTACATGACCCGAATTCATGCAGTTTACATGAAGAATTTGACAATGCAAGAAAAATTGAATAGAGAACGAAGCCGGTAAAGGAATTAAAAAGCGTCACCTGGTTTAAAAAGGCCGGGCACAGAAGGATGTGAGTATTCTTCAGCAATGTCCGGATTCCCAAGCAAACGACGATGAATAAAGCGAGATAACAAAGCAACTCTCTCGCTGCTAGGCATAGGGATAATTTCACCATAAACAACCTATAAACAGGAGAAAATGTCATACCAATTGTTTTTGTGAGAAAGCCACGTCAGCAGCAGTTTGCTACTGTAAGATCCTCAAACCAAAGCAAATTGCATAATCTATGACATGATATATAATATAGTATAATATAATATAATATAATATAATATAATATAATATAATATAATATAATATATAAATAATTAATATAAATATATATATAATATAATTATTAAAAATATTATAAATATAATATTTTATATATTATATTATAATATAATACAATATAATACAATAAAATATAATACAATATAATATAATAAAATATATAATTATATGATATAATAATATATGATATGATTGATATGATTGATATGATATATGATATGATATATGATATGATATGATATGACATGATTGATATGATGTGATATGACATGAAAGGATATGGCATGATATTTCATATTCCAGATTTGATATTTCAGCATCTAATAATAACTATACACAATCTGTTTCAAAGTTAACGTATTTATGAGCCAGTAGGTTTGCTTTCAGCTGTTTTTTAAGCTGTAGGCTTCTCGTATATCAACAGACGTTTCGTTTCTAATTTTTAGATCCGAGTATTGTTTAAATCCCTTTTTCGCATTATCTAAATAAACAAACCTCGAGTCCGATTCTGAGCCAAAGAGGGTTGAAAGACAAAAGCATGTCAGCTATGTGCTTTCTCACTCCTGCAAAAGGACAAGTGAAAAAATATATATTTGCATTAAAATGACATCACTCCACGGGAGAGCTCGAGTCGGAAGCAGATATAAGGAAAATGAGTGGCGGGGGAGGGGAGTTTACAATAGAATGTCAACTTGCTACCACCAACAAAAACATATAGGGATTTTTAACATTTTGAAAATATGATAGAAGATATTTCTTCCAAAATTCTGAGTGACTCTCCTTGGTGCATTAACTTGTTCGATAAAATGTTGTAATTTCTTTGTCGCCAAAGATATTCGTAACAGAGATTCTGTTTTCGATATTGGCTGCAAAACGCGGAATAGTGCTTTAGAAAGTTTTCTACAACCTCTAATATTTTGAGTTAATTTGAATCATGAAGCAGAGAACGACAGCCATCGGAAGACACAACCCTATTTCAATGATGAATAGACATATGCCAGCTGGAGTCGGAGATAGCGATCTTTAGTATAAAGCAATGCCCTAAGACAAAATTTTCTTTACAGTTTTTAATTTAACAAATTTTAGTCACATTACTCGACGGGAAACCAATTTCTCCAGTTTTCTTTTATTGGGACGTTTTGCGTGGCAAGTAAAAATAAACTTTTAACAAATTCTCAAAGCATTATCAAATAAATAAATTCATAAATTTATCGTAAATTTTTCTAAAAGATCGACCGGTTTCCCTTTATAATTTCACTGCTACTGTGTCTTTCAAAGTCATCTTTCAAAAATTACACACTGTTGGCTTGGTGCAATGTTCGGAGTTTTTGTCAAATGATCTTCATTAAATTGTTCAATTTATTAAACATCAAGAGAATTCCCCACTTTACACCATAATAAAGTGACGACATAATAAAGGGTACAGAGAACAAACCTAAGTCGGCATCAACTTGTCGATCGGTACGTATAGCAAGCCGGCCATGCTCTATTTCTCTCTCAAGTTTTTGAATGACTGTAGCCAGCTGATCGCATTGATACAACGAACAAGCATCTCTTCTAAGTTTCGCCATTCTTCTTCTTGCCGCATACATTCTAAAGGACAACACCTCTTTTGTTGGGGCGACTGGCTGATTCGAGTCCGATTCCAATGCAAGTTTTCCTAAATTAAAGGAAGATGCATTCAAATAGGATACATCAAAACATATGATCGAAACATGGCTTGCAACTCAGCATTTTCAAGCATCCGATAATGAGCTATATATCATTACTGAGCGAAATAGCTGCAATCCAATGGACACCATTTCATATATATTCAAAATACGTTTGTTTGCAAATTCTACAAAAATAGAATTTCATCCAGACAAGTGAGCTCACAAAATAAGTACAATCGACTATTCTTGTCATTCTGAGATAAGAGAATATGAGATAATATTCCAGACAAAATTCGTCCTAGCATCGAATTCTTGAGTACAATTGAATCCCGTATCCCGGCTAAGTCGAACATTCACAAAGCCATACCATTTTCTTCCGCGTTAAAGGATCCGACTTAAAGTCATAAAACTCATGGGCACTCATAATACATAAAAGTCCAAACAATGAATTAAAACCTCTTTTCTCCTCGCTTGCCAAATCTTCTCCATCATCTGGCGCTGTCAGCACAAAATTCAACCAATTTTTAAACCCTAAAAACAAAAATTTTGCATGTACAAGATGCCTTCTTGGGCAGATTATCATAACGCATTTTCAAAGACATACCCATATTCAAAAGCGCAAGCATGACAGTCAACCTAAACTAGGTACTTCCGATAACAGAATAGGAAGCTGATTATGCTGTATGTTTCCAATATGCAATAGTATCTCAATGCAAAGGCCTTGAAAGAGGGCATCAGCTTTTGTGTTTATTGATGGCAAAACCTTGAAGAAAATAACTTTGAACAAGAGAGCTAAAACAAATGTGAAACAAAAGGATGATACCTGTCTCTTGCTTTTCTATCCACCTTTCATCATAAAACATATTTTTTGCTGCGTACGGCATTGGGTGTTTTGCAATCTTTCCTTGCTTTGGTTTTTCCAGCTTCAATTTTTTTACTGCAATACTTGGCTTCACCGTGGTAGTTGCCCGAGGCCCTAAATGGAATAAACAAATTGAAAGCTCGGTACACTCAATGCAGAATGAAATCTCACCAAACCTTCGCTGCCTACCTTCACCCTTACTTTAATAAGACTGCACAAACCTTTGTAAACTCATAGACGCCTACTTTTAAATGTGAGCCTTCAATTAAAAAAATTAATGAAAGCCCTGGTCACCAAAAGAGTCACTCAATTACTTCGTAATTCGTAATTACGTAAATGTTTCCTTGCTGTCCAGAGGAAGCGTTTGATGTGGGGTCTTTTCTATCTATTAAAAAACGGAGTTTTGCTAGGAGGTTCCGTTATTCACTTAACAATAAGTAGTATATAGGGGACGCCTGTTGTACTTTCGCATATTATCAATGCAAGGTTGTTAATCTCTCCTTTTCTGGAGATTAGAGCAAAGTCATTCAGATTAAGCATATTCTTAAATTTGGATGAAACCTAAAGTAATCAGAGAAAATATGCACCAACTCAATAAAAACCTACCCATTTCGAGCGTACCTTCCGGGAATTTATGCATGACCACCCCCTTGCTGTCAAAGAAACATTTTAGACAAAAAAGAGGCGACATAAAACATACCTGCATCATTTGGTCTTTTTCTTGGCAATGAAAAGGCCTTGAACTTTGTGTCGGCGACTTGCCTTTCAAGTTTCCCTTTTGACTTGGGCGTGTCTTTAGACTGTCTCAATGCACTTTCCTTTGGCTTCCGCTGAACCGCCAAATCCCTTGGTTGCATCGCTTTTTCTCTTTGCTTTTGCAAGGAAGAGCACAGCTCTTTGCTTTGATGAACATTTGTTGATCTGATCTTCTTTTTCGCAACATTTGACATTTTCATTAAATTCTTTTGCAAATCAATAGACGCTTTAATTTGCTTCCTGTCAACCACGCTCTCTGCATCATCACCTATTGAAGACTCCGCAATATCGGCCTTAGCACTAATTTTTGCCATTCTGTTTTTATCCAGTTCTTCAAAACTTTCAGTTTCCTTGGTTGAAACTTCCAGCACTTTTATGGTTTCGTCATCTTCAATGCATTCATCTTTATTTTGAGTTACTTCACAGTTAATATTTTCGCAATGCCATGGCTCTGCATTTTCTCTAACGGGAGTAGGTGCCTTTTTAAGCTCAGTGTTCACGTTTCTGCCCTCTTTACCAGCTGCAGCCTTTTCAGATGGTTCAAGGTGGTTGCCATGATCTCCACAATCTCCCCATTTTGCTACCATGTCCCTCTTATCTTGACTTTCATTTGCATTCTTATTGTCTTCTATGCAAAACGTGCCGTTTTCTTTTCTCGCTTCATTGTTCACAACCAAGGTTTCTTCACAGATTTCGTCTCCAGTGTTTGTACTGACAGTGGTTACTGAATTTAACTGTCCACCAATCGGTGTTGCATAGACGCTAGTGGATTTATTGACTGGTTCAAGCACAGAAGAGAACTTTTCTTCGCGCGTGATGGTGAAAAGACTTGATGCAGCCGAACCAAAAGAAAGAGACTCGTCTTGTGGTGGCAGTTTGTGCTTGTTTGCTGTAGACATCTCCATGTTCCAGAATGTATCTGTGTTATCAAAACTAGGATATGGAATAAAGGCATGCTTCACCTCACCATTCATCACAACTTGTCCCGGATGTAAATCATTGTTTGAATGCAATGATATTTTGGATCTTTCATACCACTTAATAGGTGAGCTGGATAACCTGATCTCACTTTCATGAAACGTGTTACCTATCATAACACTATTTTCATCAAAGGCACTTTCGTTGGTTTTTCTTTTTTGTGCAATATTGTTGAGCCCTTCAAAGCACTTTTTCTGCACCTCTGTTTTGCTTTGTTTTTTATCTGGGTTACTGCTAAGGCATTTCTTGGAATCTTCCTTCAAATCAGTATTCTTTCCTACCATGAATGTGGCTCGTGCAGTATTCTCTGATTCTAACACTGGCTCTTTGTTCTCTTTACCCTCTTTGTAATCTTCCACTTCCTGTTTCATGCCAAGTGTTGGCTGCACAACATTGAATGTTGCACGTCTTGAAGGTGTGTCTGGGGCTGCATCCATTAGTTTGTCTTCACTTGGACTTTTATACCCTGACCCAATATCTGGGTGAATATGTCTATAGTTGCAAAAAAACTTTTCATTTTTTTTGGGTGCTTTCTTTTCAAGGATATTTTGCCTTTGAGTTGGACGTAAAACCTTACGGTTTCCAAATCGTTTTGCCTAAAACAGCAAGAGGGTTTTTACAAATTGAATAACAAATCAAACAACAGAAATCATAAGAAATGAGCATGGATTCAGACACCCATTTTAAAAAGCTTGCTGACTGAATGCTTTAAAATGACCAGTAGCAGACTGGAGCAAAAAGAACAAGACAAAAATTAAGGTGAAGAAATGAGAAAGAAATGAAAGAAAATCAACAGAGGCAGCTTCAAAAAGCAGAGTGCTATACCAATGAAAGCTTGTTTCACATCATACAACATACTACTAGTGTCATACTATTGACATGCCATGTATGCATTATGACAAAATCTAAACAAGTTATCTCAAAACTGAAGCTAGAGCAATTAAAAATGGTATTGGCAAGGACCAGTTAGGAAGTCAATACAGTTTCTGTAATGAAAATGTTCAAAATTGAGCTACAAATTATTTTGGGAAAATGTCCAACTTGTAGCCATACACTGTTTTGGGGACACAGCTTGGTTGGTAAATAATAGCCATCTGGTCAAAGTATGTCAGAGCTTTGTGAGTGTGTGACAGATCTGCTTTTTGCAACTCTGCTTGCAAAAATTACCTTAGCTAGTGTAAAACAAGGGTATTAGTCTGCTGAATTTGGAGACTGGGCACTCATTCCCAGAGGGCCCCAAATACGCTGATGTCCCATTTGAAAATTTTCTTATTAATTTTGAGATTTAGTTGCAATTATCCAACTAGTTTTGGGTGAATGATGGCTACGGCAAAATATGTTAGTTAGTTTGTATTTTGATACAGTAGCTATGTGCCTGGTACCAAATCCCCAAGGTATCAGCCCATTAATTCTAATACCATATCAGAACTTTTACAATGATACACCAAGTGTTACACCATAGAGTTATGCAGCACAAGCTCAAGAGATATCTTATTAGAGATGTGAAAACATTGCCTGTGTTGATTTTGACGCTAAACTACCTGCATAACTGTTGAATCAAAATATTATACACAGCATATAAAACTGTCTGACTTCAAAATCAAGCCAGCTGACTTGAAATGATTTTATGACTCTTTATATCCAATGTCAAAGTTTTGTCAATCAAATTCTCCATGAAAAGGGGTGACTAACAAAAGTATATCTCAATTTTTTGCAAATCCACAAGATAATTTCAAGCAATACTTTTTCTCTAAAGCTGAGGCTTTGACTGACAGCGACTCTCAATATATTATGAATGAAAAACTAATACCCTCCTGCTGCTTATCCATAATTTTCCTGTGATTTGACAGCATAAAAGTTTCATTTTTGAAAACAAAAATGGCATTAGATTAATACCTCTAATACCACCCCCTGTGAAGACGGTATTGGAAATAAAAAACATAGCAAACTTGACAACTTTGACACTCCTTAGAGTATAAACATCTGACAATGACATAAGGCAAGCAGAGTTTTTGTCAAGATGCAGATATTTTGTGTAGATATAAGAGTCTCTTTTCAATCTTGGTCTCTTCAGCTAGGTGAGAAGTTGTTAATCATTCTTCCGCACACATTAGTGAGTCACAGTTAGTAACTTAGTGATTACTTTCAATCTGCAACTGGGTATAAAATAAATTTCAGCTGAAAAGTTATGTTAATTCATAAATTACATTTCTATTGAGAAAGATACCTTGTTCTTCCTTTCATTTGGATCATACGAAGATACCAATAAAACAACTTGAAGTTTTTGAGCTCCGAGCCACTTGAATGTGACGAGGTGGCGTGAACTGCCTGCGACTAGAGGATGCCATGAGATTGTGATCTTAGTTTCCTCCTGAGGTTCAAGATTGAAGGTTGAAGAGTTTTCTTCACAAGGAGAAACTATAGCGAGACCGGTCTCTGCACTCGGGAACTTTTCTAGAATAACAGTTTCTCTTTCTGTACCAGGGTTAACGATTTTCAGTGTCTTGACGCATGTTGTTCCAACTTTGACTCTCTCGAAAGACAATGTCGGAGGTTTGACGAAACAGGCAAGTTCAAGAACAGCTTCAGAAGAATGAGATGCAGTCAAAGATTCTGGGATATGAAAAACGTTTGCAGGAAGGTCCCATTTTATCCTTGGGTGACTTTGCATTCCACTGGAAGCCATCTCTGTGGCAAGGCCGACAGGGTGGCCTAATACAAAATTTACTTTTCAAATCTTCTTATAACCCTCCAGCGCAACCAGCAACGATTTAACTTTTCTGTCATTGATCTTCTACTGAATTACAGCTTCTTGCAGGCAGGCCTGTGGCAGATTACTTGATTATTAACATTGCAAACTTGTGCCCGTATAGAACGTCCTTTTGAATATTCCGTGTGTCTAGTATTATCAACGACAAAATTTGAAGAACAGCGGTTAAGGCAACGGACCAATCAGGAACGCGGATTGTTTAAAAATTGACCAATCAAATATGAGAAGCATGGACGCGCGCAAGGCCAGTCCTAAAATTGGATTAAAATTCAGTTAATATTTGTTCCAGGTTACTAAACAAAAACCATTAGCAAATAAGGGTAAGATGGTCCTCAGAATGTTTTACCATTTTCAATCATTAGACTGAAGGTGGTGTTCTCTCATCATTTGAACCATTTATTTTTGGGCTGTCGGTGCGCCAATCGCAAAGACGGCCATAAATAAAACCACAACCGTTTTTGAGGGGGTTGAGAAGAAGAACAATGGCCTTCTTCCGCCGACTAGCAGCACCTTGTTCATGCAAAAAAGTCGCAAGCCATACGGCCATTAACTAATGCACGAAAACAAAGAAGTAGAAAGTCAACATGCATGTAAATAAAAAACCCTGAAAATTTCTAGACATGAATGGGTTGGGTGGGCAGGGTCGCAAAGGAAAAAACCTTTCCTCTCCAAAGTCCAACTTCGAGTTGTCGTGCAACGTGTGAGAATGAAACTGTGCTAAGCAGTGGCGGAAATTATGGCGCCCCCCCCCCCCAATCAGTGATGTCTTCGGAAAATTCGGGATTTCGTCGGATAACTGACAACCGTTTAACGTGTCGAAATTACTCCAAGAAATCGCTCTGCAAAGGAATTTTAAGCTAATCTAAGGGGCGCACTTGTTTTCAAGGAACCAGGTTTTGATCAAATTCTTAAATTGTCTATTATTTTGTGCTGTCTTTATTGATTCCGGTAGTGAATTCCAGATTTTAGGCCCTTGCAAACTTAATGATCTGATACAATTATTGGTAGTTCTGGCTTTTGGGATGTCAAGGGGGTTTTTGAGTCGAAGGTAATGACCTGTTGTTTTGGGTAGAAAATAGTCTTTCATGAAAACAGGATTAAGGCTGTTAAATGTTTTATAAACTTCGAGCGCTAAAATTCTAACTGATTGGACATGTATGGTAGTTTCTTTTGAGCAAGCAAGTAAATCTTTGTAAGAAGATGAATAGTCCGAATAGGCTAGTCTTAATACCCTCTCGTTAATTTTCTCTAGCTTATCCTGACTTCCTTTACCACATAGCATCCATATCAATTGACAATAACTGAAGTGACATAGTATAAATGAATTCATAATTATCTTTTTTTCTTTGTGGCCCATAACTGTTTCCAGTCTTTTTAAAAAATGTAACTGTTTAGCTGCTTTTTTACAGATTTTATCGATATGAGCGTCAAACTTTAAATTTTTTATCAATCTGAACACCAAGCAAAGCAACGTTTTTCTCTATTTTAATTGCAAATTTTTGGCCAATTTCAAACTCATTTATGCATTCATCTTTGCTGCCGATTGTCATAGCTTGAAATTTAGAGGAATTTGCAATCATTTCATTAGATTTAAACCAATCAAGACATTTTTTGGTGCTAATTTTTACAAGTTGCAATAGTTCATCAGTATTTGTTGCAGATATCGTGTTGTCATCTTTGCTTTCTATTAGACAGGTAGTTTTGTATAAGGAAAAGAGAATTTCTATCTACACCATAGGCCTGTAGTTTTGCTAAAAGTAAGGTTTTTGGTAGACAGTCAAAGGCTTTTGACAAATCCATAAGGACAATGCCAATATGTTTGTTCCTTTCCAGTTCTGTTTTCCAGTTTTCAATAAGTCTAAAAAAGAGCGTGCTGGGAAAAAAACTGTTTTCTATTTGCGCATAGGAATTGCGAACATTTTTCTTCAAGAAATGGAGAAAGTGAAGCTCTATTGCTTTTTCAAAAACAAGTGTCGTTAGTAGACGTATTGGTCGATAATTTTCCTTATTGAAAGAATCTTCTTTCTTATAGACAGGTGAGACTATAGCCTTTTTTAAGAAGTTTGGAAAAGTTCCTTGAATAATGCATTTAATTATGATGTTCAAGAGAGGTTGTAGGATGATATCAACTGAGATCATTAGGAATCTTGCCTAAATCATGTCGTGCCTGTGTGCCTTTTTGTGATTTAGCTTCACAATTATTTGTATTAGGCTTTCTTTGGTGATAGTTGTTGTTTTTATGCTTAATTGCTCTTTAAAGTATCTTATTATTTTAGTTATTGTTGAATCCTCAGCCAGGCCTTTATGGATTGAATTTGTGGTTTGACCAATGCTAATGAAATGGGTATTCAGAATCTCAGCAACTCACTGTGGATCACTAATAAGACAATCATTCTAAGAAAATGTGATTTCTGAATCGCCTTGACCTTTAGTGAAAAAATATGGTTTTAATTTTTTCCAAAATATTTTTTAATCTAGCATGCCTTCTCGACATATTTTTGTAGGTAATTAGACGTAACACGTTGACGAAGATTTGCACAAAGATTTCGTTGTTCTTTATACTTTTGAAAATTGTCTTTAGCTCTATATTTATTATAAATATTTTTCAGTTTCATGCGTAACGTTATTGCTTTTCGATGAATTTTGGTAAGAGGCTTATTGTTTGCTCGAACTATTTTTGATTTAAGAGGGGCGTGTTTGTTAACAATGCTACTAAAAATATCTTGAAAGCTATTGAATGCTTGATTACCATCTTGTAGATGTTCACAAAGATTAAAAGGTGCTGCCAGAAACCTTCCTCTGTGAATATACTTAAATCTCGGTAATGTTGAATTTTAGTGTGGTGTTTAGGCAGAGACGATTTCAATGTAGTTAGAATTAATTTGTGGAAATTACTTAAACTAGATTCAATTGCTATGCTATTTTTAAAATGATTTTGCTAAGATGGAAAGAGGGATCTAAATATACAACCGGTGCTTCTTGTTACCTAGCTTTAGAAGTAATTTACAACATGGTATTTTTTTAGACCGCAGCAAAATTGTACCAGTTATTTTTATCTACTGTTCTATTTGTTTGCAAAAAAATAATTTTCAATAGGATTAGGAGGATTGCTTCAGTGAAATGTGCTTAAAAGAGTGCATTTTCCAGGGAACTAAAAGCATCAAAATTCGAAAATTTCCTACTCCTTCGGCGGCAACCAGTGCCTATATCCTTTACCCGTTTCGATATAGAGATTTGACGAAACTATTAGGAAAGTCCGCTATTATCGTATAAAAAGTAGCTAATTACAGTTCCTAATTGCAGAGTTAAATTAAAGAATAGTTGCTAATTACAGAGTTAAATTGATACAATGTATTACAGAGGTTTGTGACAGTAAATAAAGAGTTCCAGGCAAAATTTTTTTAATTTTACTTTAAGTAGGATTGAAAAGCAAAATAGACGGATGCTAGACTTTCCCCAAGTCTATTTTATGTTAAATCCGTAAGGAGTTCGTACTACGAGGGCATATGCTGAATCAGGTTAAAGGCCAAGAACTGTTACAGCACCTGCAAAATGATCGCTTCCAGAATTACCAAATGATGGAAAATGCTTTATGTAAACGAAATCAAATCCAAAGATGAACTCTACAAAAGAATGAGAACTTCTTCTTGCAATATATTGTATTTTGTAATAAAATATGCTTTATTTAGGCTACAAACTGATATAAATCTATTAACTTAGAGGATAATCAAGTTATAATTGGAGTATTTAAAACCATATATAAAAATATACTTAGAAAATCTACCATGGCTTTGAAATATTGAAAAATGCCTCATGACAATTATTGACTGAAAAATTTCACAAATCTAGAAAGCACTACTTTAAGCACTACTACGATAAAATCTAAAGCAGCCGATAAAATCGATATGCTTGAGATTTTGAGAAAAAAACAATCCGAAAAAGTAGAAATGAATTCCTGGAAATTTTGACAATGAAAGATCCAAAATCCAAGGCCGCTTTCACTGCGTTCACTAACATACGGTATTAAAACACAAATTTTCCAAATACTGCAAACAAATCACACAAGGAACGATTTTACCGTTTTATCTGCATAGATTACAGTTTTAAAATGTCAGCGGACCAAATAGATGTATATGAATAGATATTCTCATTTTCGTCAATTTGGGGAAAAGGTTAATCATTGTGAAATCGTTAGGTTTTTTTCAACAAGGAAGAACTTTCGAGAACACACTACGATGTAATTATTTAAGTCGTACACTGAAATTGATTTTTGATTGAATAAATACTAAAACCTACGTTAAAATATATAAGTAACATAATGATGTGGGGTAAATGTATGAAATGACTTGTTTTTGGGTAAATAAAAGAGCTAAATGAGATTAATAAATGAATTGATATAATGACACTTGCGATTGGAATTGATATTACGGACACAGACAGCTACATGACGATACAATGACAACAAAAGCATTCATTTTCGACAAAAGATTCGTTTACGTTGTGGCCAAAAGGCATTCTTTTAATTCGACTGCGAACATGCTTCGACCGAACTCGAGATACCTGAGTGCGGCTGTCTTGACTGAAGTCCGACGCAGTGTCTGGGATATCACTTTCTCGGCACTCTTCTGCCAAGCTTATAGTGTCTTCGCAGAGGCTGGGATCACTGATTGTGCGATGTATCTCCGACCAATCACTTGACAGTTCTATACTACGATCTGATTTGCTCCAACTGCCAGAGCCAAGTAATGATTTGCGGATGTAACGCAAGTCTATGTCCACATAACTACCGCTGCTGCTGTCATCTTCAGCTAATGAAAACGACGTCACCGAGATATCAGACAAATCCCCATTAGTTGAGTAATCCTCGCTGCGCTTGTATCTCGATACGTTTATATCCGACTCGCTGTGACTTTTTAGGTGAACAAGACACAATTCGTCGCCACCAATGGCACATGCGCAATGAATTCTAGCCAGCGATGACTTGTAATCACTCAACGTGCTTCCACGGCGCTTTTTCTTTCTTCGCCCTTTCAAAAATAACGGCATCTTTTTCGATAAAGAGTGTGATCCTAAACGTTTTTTTTCTTTCCCGTTGGTTTTACTGTCAGACTTTAGATTGTCGTTTTCAGAATCGCTGGCACAACTGCAATCGTCTAAAGGGATGTTATTGTACAAAAATGATTCTATTTTTGAACCAACACAGCCTTGCTTGCCATTTTCTGTCCCTGAGGTGTAGCTATCATCGTCATTCGCGCCTTTTTGATAACCGCCATTACTTGAGGAAGAAATCCCTTGATGACTGTTCGGCTGGCCGTGTTTTTCCTGTGGCTCTGGTGCAGGTGATATAAATGTTGTTTCACACATCAGCGTTTCGGTTGTTCCTGTTTCTTTTTGATGCGCATCCAACTCGTCTTTGATTGATTCATCTTTACTTGGAGCTGTAATCTGACTGCAGGCTTCTGACAAACTTCCTTTATCATCATTTTCGTTATTTTGTTCATCTTCTTGAGAAGTATGATCTGGTATCCTATACCTACTAGCAATCCATGAACTGAAGTACCCAAAACTGTGCTTGAATGGTACATACTCCTGGATAGTTTCTAGCATCTGCATGTCTCTGCAACCGAGAAAGCTTAAAGATTAGACAAATGTTGAAATTGATCTCTTTCAAAATATAGAATAAAATTTTTAAAGTAAATAAAAAGAAACAATAGAACTAACCTTGATAAAACCACAAAGCTTGTCTTAATAAAATTCAAATCAACAATTTAACATTAAAATTGTTCGCATTAGTTTGTATAATAGAAACCAAAATAGCTTTGAAGGAGGTTTTACCTAAGCTAGGCAGATGCAGGTTTTTGTGACAAACAGATAAAAGTTTAATTGAATACCTAAAAAGAACCTGCTACTTCGTCTTACAGTGCACAATAGATTGACAATGTTGTTCTATAATTCATGCAAGCTTTTTATTAATTTGATCAATAGTTAATGCTTTATCTTTATCTAAGATTAAGGTCAACAGTTGTCAAATTACTAAGCTTCATTAGGAAATTTAATAATGGCATGTACTTAACATCTAAGTTTCTCAAAGTACTTAACTATACAAAATTAATTCATAACTTTTATATCAAATCACTATTGTCTGAAATTAACATGATTTGACAGAAATGGCTGAACATTCACCCTAGTACCACATGGGATGCTTGCAAAACTTAAAGCTTTAAATTGTATAAACTGGTACTTTATACAATTTACAAAAGTGTGCCCACTTTCACTGCAAATGATTTCTGTTCCACAATTAAGCAAAAAGGGTACCCACGAACAAACCTAAAGCAAGGTGTTTATTTTGTTATACACGGAAAATTGACAGACGCTATTTTAACATTGGTAAATCTAAAACATTCTATGTAGAAAGTGAATGGTAATAAACTTGACAAATATCTTGATCTTCTCCCCAATTGGATTTGATCACCCTGCTCATATGACTATTAATTAAATCAAGTATTTTTGAAACATCAATAGCAGAACACAGATGACTTCCATTGTGACATTTTATTGTTCTATCAAATGGTTTGAAAATGGGAATATTAACTGTTTGATCTGAGTCTGTAAACATTAAACCAAGGAAGACAGTTTTCTTTCAACATCTGATGTTGGTGGAAGGTTCTATTACAATTACAAAAGAATCCATTATCACACTCTCTTTGTAACACAGAATTTGCTTCTAGCTTATTTAAGGAGATTATTCAAAATACAACTAATTGTACAAACTGAATAAATAAAACTCTGGTAAAAAAGATGTCATAATCATTACCAAATATGTCAAGTTTATGTTCCTAAACATGTAAAATCCATGTATGCACTTAATTAGCTCTTAGTTCCTAATACTTCATTGTTCCTCTCTTCAAGAATAGATGTTCTTTAAAGGACAAGTGACACGCTTTTGGCGCCAAATTTTTTTTTTCTTTTAACTTAAAGTATAATGCTGTATGAGAGTGTTGTTGAAATATTTTTCCTTTCTGATTTCATTTTCCCACTTAAAAACCCATTTGAAAATATGGCGGGAAATGAATCACGTGACACCGTGACGTAAATTGTGATAATTTGTTATTGCTGCTACTGGTATACAGTGCAATATTAACGTTTACAACACGATTGTAAACGAATACAGTTCGTCTGGACCTGTCGCGTCGTGTTTCGTAAACTCTCTATCAATTACAGGAAAATTCTGAGTTATCACAATGTACGTCATAGGGTCACGTGATACAAAGCTAAAACGCGCCCCCTGCGCCCCCTGATTAGAATTTTTTGTTCCAAACCAGGAAAAACTTACTTCTAAAAGATGATCTATAAGTTAATGAAAAGAAACGATAGGGTGAAAAGTGTGTCACTTGTCCTTTAA